AAGAATTGATAAAATGATGTAGGCATAAACCTTTCTTATCAATGAACTAATAGCAATTAGTAATCTAATTATCTTAACTATCATAATTTTTTAAATTTTCCTTTCTTTTCTCCTATGTCGCATTCCAGCTTCATCTTCCTCTTGAAGAGTTTCTTCCCATTTCACGATATCTATTGTACATTTTGAGTCTTACTCTTTTAGGTTCTTACACTGGGGAGACCACACAGTGTCTACACACATGAGACTCATTTATTCCACTCATGAGCATGGAAAGTGGGACATCTACAGTGTCTGTGACCTTTGCTTCCATCGAAAGCTCTGTTCCAGCACTCATGGGAGTGAGGACATTCACAGGAGCCCTTCCTGAGGGCATCTCCTCCAGCGTCTTCATGACGTTTTCTATGGTGTTTGTGTCATGAGGAATAAATAGGAGAGTGTACAGGGAGGTGCACAGTATGTACACAGTGTACGGGGAGGTGCACAGTATGTACACAGTGTACGGGGAGGTGCACGGTGTGTACGGAGCCTATGGGGAGGTGCACAGTGTGTACGGAGTGTACGGGGAGGTGCACGGTGTGTACGGAGCCTACGGGGAGGTACATGGTGTGCACACAGTGCACGGGGAGGTGCACAGTGCACAGTGTGTACAGAGCATACGGGGAGGTGCACGGTGTGCACACAGTGCACAGGGAGGTACACAGTGTGTACGGAGCATATGGGAAGGTGCACGGTGTGTATGGAGCGTATGGGGAGGTGCACGGTGTGTATGGAGTGTAAAGGGAGGTGCACAGTGTGCACACAGTGCACGGGGAGGTACACGGTGTGCACACAGTGCACGGGGAGGTGCACGGTGTGCACACAGTGCACGGGGAGGTGCACGGTGTGTATGGAGTGCACGGGGAGGTGCACAGTGTGCACGGAGCGTACGGGGAGGTGCACAGTGTGCACACAGTGCACGGGGAGGTGCACAGTGTGTACAGAGCGTATGGTGAAGGCTTACTGCAGACCACTGTGCAGACATGTAGAGCACCCCGGGCGCACACTGACTGTGCCTTCCAGAGCGCACCATGTGTCTGGCCCTTCTGCTTCTTCTGTCCCTTTGGTTACCTTACACTGGTTACTGCACGGGAAAAAGGTGGGACTGTATTCTCAGCCCTCTCTCTCTGCACATCACCACTCCACAAACTTGTATGTAAAAACCAATTTTCTTCAACTGAAGGCAAATCATTGATTAGTTAAATTAAACCTATTATTTGCTTCTTTCCAATGGAAAAGTCCAACATGGCTGCTCGCTTCAGCTAAGGCCCTTGGCACCTTTGCTCACATATGAACAACCTGCTGCCCACCACACACACATTCACGTCCTGCGCATACAAATATGAGTTAACGAACCGTGTGCCAGCCCAGGGCAGCAACGGAGGTTTCAGTTTGGCAAGCAATGTTGAGCACCTCCTGGCAAGCTTGAGTATTTCTCCAACCAGTCTCTGGGTGCGCTGGATCAATTTGGTAAAGGTAATTGAGGCCAAACTGTTCTAAAAGCTAAGAGTAAAGCTTATAACAGGAAACTTAGTAATACAGACAAGCCTAGAGAGACTATAAAGCTTCGGGGTCCGACCTGAGCCCTCCTTCTAGCTCTCCTGTCTCACGCCTCATCTGTCCTGTAAGTGCTATCCTGGCTTGTGGCTTTCTGGTCTGGTCTGCGCTGTCTCCTACCACTTGCTTCTCTTCCTGCCTGCTCCCCTCTTCCCCCCTGTAATGGTTGGTGGATTGTGCCAATTTAAGAAGCTCAGACCCTCTCCTAAGTGGGCACGGCAATTCCACCCGAGGGCGTGGAGGTCCCAGCCTGCAATGGCTCACCGACCAGATGTATACAGAGGAGGTGAGGCAGGATGGACTCGCTTCTGGTCTTTGGAAGAGCTCCAGTACTGGCCTTCAGCTTGGACGTCACCTCCCGGCTTTTCCATCTCCACCTTGATCCTTCAGTCTTCCTGGGAAGACTCTTCAGCCTCCTTCCACAGATCCACCGGCCTGATACCAGCTCCCACAGGGCCCTGCAGTGAGCTGTGGACCTTGGGCTGAACCCTCGGTCTCCAGGGTGCAGACGCCCACTGCACGCTTCCTCATCCGACTCTGCTGACCGTCATAAGCCAATCTTGTGATTTCTTATGTTTGTACATCTTATGTTAAATCTGTCTCTCTAGCAAAACACTGCCTGACACACCTGCCCTCCCTGCCACCTGGAAGCCAAGGCCCTATCTCTGGGAGCTGCTGTACCAGCAGGAGATCCCTCAGCTGCCACCCACCTCCATCACACAGCCACCCTCGTGGGCACACGTGCCCCCTGCCTGCCCTCTGAATCCTGCAGTGTAAGCCTCGCTGGGCTGCAGTACTAGTGCCCGGCTTTGCAGCCGCCCCGTCCTCCCTTCTCTCCTGTTTTCTTCTGTTTCTCTCCTGAGGGGAGGACTCTGCAGCTGACACTCAATCTCGCCTGCTCTCTGACAGCAGAGCTCCACAGCTGTACAGCTGCTCACGAGGGTGAAGTCAGATCACAGGACAAACATGCTGCCTGGTCAGTCGTCGGGATACTCCTGCATCTCTGAGTTTATTACCCTTAATTTCTTTTTAACCCTCACAGACATTTCTTGTGCTTTCTGCAGACATTTTGCACAAGAGATTTCACAACTTTACTCACATACTTCCGTGTTTCGCTGCTTTTAAATCAATACAGTGCTTAAGCACACAGACCTGCATCCTCGTTTGAGCTTCTGTGATGAGAGTTTCACGTCTTGATGCTCTCTGGGGATGAGGGATGTCACTAGAGGAGCTGTGAGCCCGCCACTGTGTCCCTGCCCTCACCAGGATCCAGAGTCCTAGGGCAAGCAGCCCTTAGCTGAAATATGCAGACAGGAAGCAGAACCCCCAGTGATTTCTGGGCAGCCTCCAGGGGATGTGGCACGGGCTAGGACGCCAGACGCCCCAGGGTGAGAGGCAGGGTTGGATGACACTTCAGAGCCATGCAACACACCCGCCCCTGCCCTGCCCTGCCCTGCCCTGCCCTGCCCTGCCCTGCCCTGCCCTGCCCTCTCAAGGCCATCTCCCTCCACACACCACTGCTGTGGGACCCAGCACACTTGGTACTCCCCATAATTTGTCAGGAAGGTTTTGTCCCAGCACCCTCCACTTTCTGGTAGCCAGCGAGCACGCTAGCCACTGCTGGTGACTCACTGCCCTGCACTCGCCCTGCTTGGTACTCAGCACACCTCCTGGAACTGCTCAGCACCCAGCCAGCACTGCAGGCAGCACGGACGCCCCAGGAGGCCCCGCCGCACTCCCAGACGCCAGCACAAAGCAGTCACTTGTAGGAAAAGGAATGCACGTGAGACCAGCTCTCAGGGAAGTAAATCAGATGCACAGCTTGAGTACCACACGGTTTCTTACACAAGAAACCCAAAGGTCAAATGCATTGCAGAGCAAAACAGAAGGAAACGGGTAGATTTCTTGAGGTGGGAAGGGCCCAAGGAGGAGAAGGGTGGGGAGGAGAGGAAGGTGTGAGCTGAGATGCGCTGTTTGCGTGGAGACCGGCCACAGCCAGCAGAGTCCCTGTGTGCTCCAGTAAGTGCCAATAAAATTTCTGAACAGTTTTCAAAAAACCCAGAGAACTACTTGTGTCTTCCTGTGACTGTTACTGTGCAAAGTGAGCCATCCATTTTCACAGACAGTCTCACATTCTATGGTAAAAGCTGGGAGACACACATCTTAGGAAATTTATGATTTTCTTAATGATTTTTTCCGGGTAAAAAATGTAAATAGGTCAGAGCGAGTTCTGACACTAAATGAGCTACAAAAACAAAAATCTGTCTCAGAGCTCTTCAGAGTGTAAAGTGTGGTTAATGTCTTGTGAAGAATGTCTATTTCAGATTAATTGAACTATCGGTTTTAAAGTCAATCACGGCCCATTAACTTGTATTGGTTTCTTTGAAGGCATCTTCATTTATACCCAGAGCTGAGATAGTTTGCTTATGCGGGAACTTGGGAAAGTAGACTCTGCTGAGAACAAGATCAGGAAAGTTCATATGCAGGAACTGCTGAGAGACAGGAATGAGTCTTCCTGAACAGGACTCAAATTTGTAGTGTGCATTTTGAGAGATATCTAACACCTTGCTAAGTCAGCCAAATGTAAGGCTCAGAGTCGGTAGTCTGCAAGGCAGCAAGGCCGGAGGCAGCGAGACATCGGACTCCACCACCCATGACAGCACAGGACAGCGAGCGCAGGCGAGCAAAAAATCAGACACATCGACCAACAGGGTGGTGCCGGACGGACGGACGGACCAGAATGGAACGGATGGGACAGAACAGAACAGAATCCCCAGAAATGCCTTGCACCCAGTGATTTGGGTAAGAGCCTGTCCCAAGGCCTCAGGAAAGGCCAGCCTCTGAAATAGAGGGTGCTGGGAAGGCTGACGGAAGGCACAGAGCACGCCCTCCCTCAAGCCACATAAAGTTCCACCCAAAATGGGCCACAGATCTAGTGTGCGACCGAGACTATTGAGCGATTAGAGGAAGGCACGGACAGAAGCAGTTCTTTTGTTTCTGGCGCAGTGACTCTGGTCCTGGGCATGTGGAAGGCGCTGCCTTCAGCACGAAGGGTCTCCGAGTCGGAGCTCACAGGTGCTGTAAGGAGGGCCACAGCCAGAAATGCCATCTACAGAAGCAATTTCACTGTGAAGAAATTTCATCAGCAATTTGAATAATGTGAGAGAAAATCACTTGTTTTTCAGATGGGTAAAACCTTATAAAGCAAACTATAAGAATTTCAGCAAAACTTCCACTTTTTCCTGATTATTTACTAGACTTGGGGTTTCCAGGGATATTCTCTGGAAGGAGCACGTTTTCTGGATCAGCTCGGGCAGCTGGAAGCCCAGAGTCTCGCCGTGATTTCCCACCTCCCCGCTCTCCGCAGCACCCCAGGCAGGGGAGCTGGCACGCCGGCCCTGACGCACCTTCCTTGTCATCGTGGTGGACGATGGCGTCCTGCAGCACGTCCGCCAGGCCGAACCGGACCCTCGGGCTCCTGCCATGCCGGAGCTTCTTCAGGAAACCCTCCTGCCTCTGCAGCGCCTTCTCGCGGTCGTAGTAGGCCTTGAGCTGCTCGCAGCGCATGCGCCTCACCAGCCGCTGCCGCTGGCCCAGAGGAAGCGACTCCAGCAGGCACTGGTCGATTTCCATCTCACGGGCTCGGAAGGCGCTGCATAGCTGGAAACAACCTGGAACAGCAGAACGGGGTCACTGCACCCATCGTCGGGACCCGCGGCCGCGCCCTCGGCCTGCCCGCCCCCGCGCGGCCCTCACGCCATCCGCCTCTGCGCGGGGGGCAGTGCAGAGCCCTTGTACAGCTCGGGGAGACCCGCAAAGCTGCAGGCTCTCTGGACATTCCCCAGGATCACGACAAGTAAGAGACCTGGTCACAGACAGACACTCTTACTCGACACAGCCGCCAACCCCCGCCCAGCCTGCTGTTTCCATGAACCGCACCCATGGCGCACGCATTGTTGGCTAACCGAACAATGCTAACTGACTTTTCTGTGTTAAGTTCTGGCAACCTGCCTAGTCGTTCCGAACACCCTCCTACAACTGCTCACACAGCATGAAGATTCTGCTAGTTAATGTTGTAGAACGCATGCTCTGTCATGTGATGCACCGCTGGCGTGCCACTCATCGGTTGCTGAATCCTCTCTGGTGACATTTATTTCTAAGAGGCCCAACTCTGCTAAGTACAACAACAAGAGGGCACAGAGATTTTCTTTCATCATTGCAAAATCATGAATAGGACTGTGGCTATCGTGCTCTTTGTTCTACAAATATAACAATAAAAAACTGAATTCTCCATTCTGGATTTAAAAATATTCACTTTCTTTCAAGCTGTTATCTCCTGTCACACCACACAATACACCTGCAGTAACACTGTACAGTAGGATAAAATTCTAACATCGGCAGAAAACTAAAAGCCCTGCAATCCTAGAATGTGGCTCACAAAATTTAGAGCCTAGTGTGGTGGCGCATGCCCATGATTTCAGCACTTGGGACACCGAGACAGGAGGAGCACCCGAGTTCAGGCCAGCCTGGGTTACGCAGAGAGTCCAGGGAAGCTTGCATTATGCAGCAAGATGCTTTTTTTTTTGTATTTTAGGGACGGGTCGACAGGGTGTTCAGGGTCTCACTACTAGATTGAACTCATAGTGATCTGTCTGTTTACAGCCTCCCAAGAGCTGGGATTACAGGTGCACACCATCACACCCCTCAATTGCCATCTTAGTGCACCATGGAGGCAGGGCTGGTAATAAGACCCTATTAAAAAAAAAATGAAAAGCAGAACCAACCAACCAAACAAAACCAAATAAAGATTTAGAGAAGTGGTTGTATATTATCTTAAGATATTTGTCATGTGATGCTAAAGCAATTTTAAAAAAACTACAGGGGCTGGGGAGATGGCTTAGTAGAATAAGCGCCTGCCTGGCAAGTGTAAGGTCCTGAGTTCGATCCCCGGTACCACAAAAAACAAAACAAAATTTAAAAAACCTATACATGCCTAAAAGGTTGCCGATCATACGCCGCCCACGAGACCATCACACACTTACACTGTTACCACTTCCACTTCTGTTGTCAGTTTTATCATTTTCACTTTCACAAATGCACATACATCAATAGGACCACCTCTGCTTTGCAAGTACAGAAATTTAGTTGAGAAAGGCTGTGAGTTCTTGAAGACTCAAGAGGTAATTTTACAGTAGTGTGTATAGTTCTCCGTACAGGATGAAGAATAAACAAGATAAAACGCAATGTGTGTCTAAGGCTAGGTATCGAATATTCGTTGCTCTAACTTACAAGGAAAGGAAGAAAAGAGAGGAATACCTACAGGGAATTCTGCTTTTGTTGTTATTTGCACTTGAAAGAGCCTAAATAGTCTATAATTGTGCTTTCATTGGATTTCCTGTAAATTTTTGCAAAAGTGGTGTTGGAGCTACCCACCAGCCACACCGGCAATACTTGCCGTCCGAGGACCTCCACCTCAAGGACGGCAAGGAAAGCATGAGGAAGCCTGACTGGGGCCAGGGTGGCCGTCACAAACACCCAGTCCGAAATCAACACTGGGCCAGAGTCTGCTGCTGCTGTCAGCTCCACCTAGAAAACCACACCGTGTCTTGATTTACCCACTTGGATGCGCAGCACACTTCGGCTTCCAGGACTGTCTTGGCTATGACCCAGGGACCCTCGGAGCTGCCCAAAAGCTGAAGGAAGCAGTGACTCGAGTGTCCTGTGTCCGTCAGCATGCGTCCACAGAGCGGGAAATCTAATAAACACGGCGCCTCCCGCTCGCAGCCTCAGAAGGGTCTTGTGGTGAAACTGTCAATTAACTTTTAAGGACTCTGCAGTGACAGCTCAGGAGTCACGGCATCATCCCTCACACACTGTCAGAACGAGTGGCAAGGCTTGCTCTCAAATGATCTGCATCATTTTCTCTTAGGATGTGGAAGAATCAAAGGCTGCCGGTGTTAGACTTCAAGTTCATATATGTGTGAAGTACTGACTGTGGATATAGTTCTTGTTCAGTAGCAAAGATGTGCTGACTTTAGAGAGGCTGTGAGCTGTTTTATGATATAAAAATGGATCTAGACATGGGTTTTCAGGATTTAGAACTCAGTGGGCACTGTGAGCTTTCCTTTGCTCGATCTCTGGGCGTCAGCTCTGAGCCGTGCAGGGTGCCACCAGTGCAGAGCTCATACTGAAATCAGCACTTGGGGACACGGAGGTTTGGAGCCCTCTCTGGGCTCCAGGACACTAGGATGCCACAGCAGACACCTCACCTGGCACAGATGGGGCCTTGAGGCTGGGCCACATAAGGTCACATGCGACTGTCCAGGGCCCGTGCAGCTGTGCTTCATCTGTCGCGTCACAGACCTGCGGGTGCCACCCGGCACGACTCACCGGGCTTCTTCCCAGGCGCCTGCGGCTCCCAGAGGGCTCCCTTTTCTCCCCAGGACCAAGCACCGCCCACCTGCAGCATGCGGGACTGCTTGCCTCCCCAGTGCACGTGGCAAGCATGCACACGTGCGCCTGTCACGGTGGCAGGGAGCAAGCAGCTCTCCACAAAGCCAGTTCTTCCCCCAAGAAATATTAGCTGCCACTTTTCAGAGGCCCAGGCCTGGCTCACAGGAAGCACTATGTGTCCCGGGTGGCTGCCTGGGAGACTGGGGCCCGCACAAGCCACCTGGGGCAGCAGCCACACCTGCACGGGCACCTGATGGCTTTGCCACTCCTTGCTGGAAGTCCTGGCAATGTGAGTTTTTATTTCCACTTCTGTCACGCTTTGCCACTGATGTTTGGGGCCATAACTGTGATAACAATAAGCAGTGCCTCAACTGCAGGGAGCCTTTTTTTTTTTTTTTTTTTTTCAACAACACTCAGTGGTGATAAGGAGGAAAGAGTGCTTCTGAATGAAAACCATGGCCTCACCATCCACCCAGCAAGCGCTGTGCTGAGATATTTGTTTTGGTACTGGGGATCGAACTCAGGACCTTGTGCTCTGACAGGCTGGGGGTGGAGTCCGACTGCTGGGTCTGCCTGTTCTGAGGGATACATTCTGCAAGCTGATCTCATGCTACCTATGTGACAATCAGGAAAGCAGGAGACAGGAAGAGAGCCGCGTCCAGCAGCTCTGGGACACCAGGGCACTGGCCATTTCGTGAGTGAGAAACAACAAGCCCTCAGGAGTGGACAGCCCTGCAACCCTCCTAGCACATCTTTGAAGCAGATGCCCTTCAGCTCTCCCCGAGAGCAAGGTGACAGCCAGAGAGGCTTTGGTGCATCTTTGTAAGACCAAAATTGAAAGCTAGCAAAGGAAGCACAGAAAGGAAAAAGGGAAGGTGCATTTTGGGAAACAAGGGTATAAGCTCAAGTGCAGGGGTAGCAGGTGTTCTAGACTGTGATGTAGAGGACCCTGTGCACAGCATCATGGTGTCCTGGTCTCAGAGAAACGTAGCAAAGCAGAAATAGGAAGAAGGAAATTAAGGGGAAAGGAACTAAAGAGAATGAACTACTGAGAACACTTGCTGTGAGTGACTCTGACTGCCTCCACCCCACTGGAATGAAACTCCGCCCTCCCCCAGCCCTCCACACATACA